TTCTTTTTTTCTATTCATTCATTTTAAGTGTATTTATTAATTTATTTATTGGTCCATTTATATATTTATGCTTTTATTTTCAAATATGACAGTTTCAGTCCTCCATAGATTATCTAATGTCTCTTCAAAAAAATGGTATTTTTTTTCATATTGATTCCCAATGAATTAGATAAAGGTGTTAAAGCACTGCAGAGAGCTTCAGCTGCACTTTTCAACCACTCTTGCAAAAGCTAAAGTCGCATCTCTCTTTAAAATATATATATTTTAGTAAATGTAGTTGTTTGTCTCTTAAATTTAGAAACTTCTAATAAATGTCTTTTTTAGCACATCTCTGGCAAAGGCAAGGAATGATTGTGAAGAGAGCAGAGCCTGATCCAAACACATAGTTTAAATATATTTCACATTCAAAAGGATTATCATTTCCACACCCAACCCCCAACCTCCCATGCCCCTCCAAACTACTCATACAGTAACAGCAGGGCAGACCACTGATGAGGAACTTAAAGTAATTTAAATGAACCAACGCTGGGACATTTGCATTAATTTGAATATGTTAATTTTGTCAGATGTATGAATGACCAGGACTTATTTGCCTGCAATGTCATATTTTAGCTTTTAATTTAAACTTAGTGTTTTATTTTGTGTAAATACTGTGTGTTGCAGTGTTTTTACTAATATGTCTACTTGTTTTACCTGATACTGTTTATTTATGGAGTGTCAATGACTGACAAGACAGCATTTCACACTTGCATTCAGTACATCTGGAAAACTTCTGGAGTAAACTCATTTTACATTTTCTATGTTTGATTCCACACTTCGCAATGGGTTTTAACACATTTTCTTTAAAATAAATTATTATTATTAATGTTTTTTTTTTGTTTGTTTGTTTTGTAAATTTTGAAAAAAAAAGTTTTGGTTCAAGTCAACTTTTTAAATTCTCCTCAACCTAAACTAGATGTTGCAAACAATTACTCTGCATAGGGCTGCACAATAATTCAATAATGAGATATGGGGATACATACATGTTCAATATCACTAAATACAGAAAACATGTTCGATATGCTATTGATAATTTCACTGGTTAGTAATGGATGATAACTTTCTGATAAAATAAGCTAGGACCTTTCAGCTAATCAACACTAGGAAAGCTAAGAATCACCTTCACAATAAAAGCTTCAAGCTGTTAATACAGTAGATGACAAATGCCTGCTAAATAATTTATTTTGAAATTTGTAAACCAAGGTTGATTTTAGGATTGAAATGAGGCATCTAAAAACTAAAGAGGGTGACAATACAACGTCCCAACAGCTAAACGCCCGTAGCTAAACAACACCGGAAAAGCTTCACTTTCAAAATAAAAGCTTCAAACCGTTAATAGACGACAAATGGCCGTTAAAAATATAATTACCTGTGCTTTATTTTAAAATGTGTGAACCAAGGTTGATTTAGGATGCTGTTACACTGAAATGAGGCATCTAAAAACTGAAGATGGCGTCTGTCGTGGCAAGAATTGTCAGAAACACGGCGAAAAGGTGTTAGACAGACAAATAGTCTTGCGGGTATGATCATAAGTCATTTATTGATGGGCAGACATGGAACAGAAAGCAATCACGAAGTCTGTTAGATGTGGGCCCCCCTGTCATAGGCCGGGCAAGCAATGTTATATTGTCAGTTATCGCCATATGATAATGAACAACCAATCAGAATCTGCCTCGTTCTGGTACGTGAAGTAGGTCAACTCGATGCTGACGTCCAGGGATATCACAAGATATGAAAAAATGGACAGTGTCAAGGTGATACAGAAATAAGTATTCCACAACATCCCCTCCTCTTGAGTAAAAGGAAATACTCAATACTAAAAATGGAAAAAGGAATAATTATTATAAGTCAGTTCCACAAATGCATCGCTCAACAAATATAAAAAGAGAAATAGGGTAAAAGTAGTGCAATGGATTATTGGCATAAGCTGGCTTGTGCAAGAAAAAGTAAAAAACAAATGTGTAACAAAAAATAACAAACAAAAGCTAAACCTAAATCTAAAGAAATTAACCTAAAGGTAACAGCTCCACCCTCCTCTTGTTACACTTAAGCTAATCCTACATTAAACCTAGAACTAGTCCTCTGTGAATGACATAGACGCCGTTGTAACAGCAC